TAAACACTGATAGGTGAAACAAAGTAGCTTAAATGCTAGGCGCGAGTAAAGGATAGAAGTTTGATTAATATATAAATATATTCTTAGTGTATTAATCCCATCAGAAATCCGAATATAAAAAAATTACGTTATTTATGAATTTCGGTGATAAATTGTGAAAGAATTTATTATTTATTATTATTATTTACTTCAATCATGTAAAATTTATTACAGTTAATATTATTAGATTTTTGACCTCGTGAATATTTGGTGGTAGAATAACTTACCGGTGACCTTATAAGACATTAGAGAAGTTGACGAACTTGATTTTTCTCTCAATTTATCTATCTTTCAACACAAAATTTCGTGTATGTGTAAATAATGTTACATTCTAGTGAGAGGCAAGAATATTTTTCGTTATATTTATTTCTAGCATTAAGGCACCTGAAACCAGAAAATCTCAAGATGCCGTCAATTACAAAACCCTGTGCGTTGTTGGTGCATGTGTTTAAGAGCTGAAGGCTCGGTGGGAAAATGTAATAGCTGTTTTAACGATCTTGAGAAACATGTAGTTCTCACTCTAAACCAGCTTGGTTTTGTAATGGTAAAGTGCGTTGTTTTCTTCGCGGTACGGACTAAATTATTAAATATAATTTAGACGAGTTGTTAATATATTAATAACTATTCACTCTTCGCCGGATACTTTGTACCGCTGAGTTAGGTTAAAATGTGTGACCGAGTGATTTCATTGTGCATAGATGTGTGATTTCTCTTGGGTCTGAATATAGATAAGCTTTAATAATTTAAAAACAGTTTGACACATTGACATGACAGCCGATGTCTGTGAAACGAGAATTTATGTTTGTATGTTCAATGGAGAGTAAACTAAATATGGCATTGACGATTACACTCATGTGGTCCGGCCGGGGTGAGGGGTGGGGGGGTGCAGAATAGCGCGATATTTGATTCCCCTTTGCAAGCAGGACATCGGGGGGGGATTGAAACAAATGAAGCACACTATTATCATTTATATATTATCAGAGTGTGTCAGTGAAGAGGTTCTTACAATTATGTTTGGAGTTTTCAGTTAATCATTTCAAACGACAGAGGTAGTGTTATTCTTCTGTAGCACGTAAAACCAGCCAGCTACCTCTACAGAATCTCAAGGAACAGAAATTTCCCCTCTTCTATAGATTTTATTCTTGTACACGCCTCGACCATCTATTTGTTCTTAATTTGACTCCAAAACCGAAGATCGTTAGCGATTACAATGACGAGAATGACTGTAAAGATTTATATGAAATTTGATATGGCGGTTATATCATTAACGGTTATCCCAGACTCGTTGTTATAAATCTTATACAGTCCGTAATAACAGCACGATGTATGTTGGAATTTGTACAACTTCCATATTCACTAACATGACGGAGGCAGTAAGCTCCTCCGAAACGTCGGATAGTTTCTGCCAGGCTACACGGTGGTACATCCCAGAAAGTTTGCATTTTTACACTTGTTTATGTGAAAACGCAGAATTTACAGATTTTTTTAAAATATTTTCATGTAAATGAATATTGCATTAAGCAGGAAAATCATTGTTAAAACAAGTTTGTAAATAAACTATCAACATAACAAAGTAAATTAATAAAATGTAGATAGGTTGTTTTCTTCGGGTAGAACGCTGGCCTTGAAATCCTGGGGTCTCGGGTTCGATTCCCGGCGGTGCCCGAATTTATAACTTGTGTTGGGCAAGGCCGTGGTCTAGGCAACACGGAGTTTTCCTCCGGGCATCCCAACAATTACTCCATTCACACACAGAAGAAGGCAATGGCAAACCACTTCTGGATCATCTGCCAAGAACGTATATGAACAGGTCCCAGTCCGAGAAAAGGATGGAAGGATCCTGTTCATATGGACCTGTCCTCAGACAGAACACTACAAATAATAAAAAAAAACTGTGCATGTAGAACGCATCCTTTAGGTACAACTAAGATGGACGGAAGACATGTCAGATTAAAGAAACACGCAAGAGTTACAACACTGTTATAGAAATATATCGAACGAACAATATGACCTATAGAAGACACACTCCCATACGTAGGCATGTTACATCATTAGTAATTACTTAGGAAACACGCAATGCATTTATAAGTATCTAAAATTATGCGCTATACTGAAACCATGTTTATTACATAGATGCTATCTTCTGAGTTGTCGTTTTGTGTAGCCTGGTAGAAGTTTACCGACGTGTCAGAGATTTTTGCAGCCTCATTGCCTTGATGATGAAGGCAGAGAGTACCTCCGAAACGTCTATAAACTTCTTCTAGTCTACACGGCCGTACAACCCAGAAGATAGCCATGCAAACCTTAAATCCTACTGTGTTTATTACGTAATTAGATAAACACTTCCATAGAGCACAGGTATATTACTGACTATAAACGTAAATGCCAAGGGTAATATCTTCCGGTGAAGTACACACAATTTCCTGATGTCCGCTGCTAATTTTCTCATTGCGATATATTTATTTATTTAAGATTTATTTAACGGTACTGTCACTATCTCAGAATATATGTCATTGAATGATGGGATACATTAATGAATAATTAATTGGCAGTGTTATTTAATGACGGAGTCATGACCCGATTTTTTAAGTCATATCCCGGCATTTGCATGAACGCAGTTTTGATAATGATGAAATTTCTCAGTCAGGATAGCCGACATCTGGGTCATATTTGAACCCAGGACCTCCCGAATACGAAGTATGGTCGCTAATTACTTTACTGCGACTTTTAAATGTGATTGGAAATTCTAATTTTTTAAATTAAGACGTCACATAGTCGTTTTAGACCTTCGTAAGATGTGTTTTCAGAGTTTACGGAAAAGGTCGACTATTAAACTTTTCAGTTACTTGGTTCGAACATATATTTTGTAAGGATTCACTCCCTTGATGTCGTATGCAAGAAAGAAATTTAAAATTAGTATAAATGTCATGACTATACACTTCCAAACTCCTAAAATATCTGCATGAATTCAACTACATTATTTGTAAAGAAATTTCATCATATATCTCATCATATGACTTCTTTCAATCAAAGCAACGTACTGAAATTCGAAGCATTTTTTCCGGTGAACAAGACGACAAAAATTAAATATTTAATTAAATGTCTGCATCGTAAAAAATATATATAAGAAACTGCGACGAGATGTTGAACATAACTGAGAAACCCGTGGTTTCTTTTCAATAAAGTTATATGCGTGGAGAAACTTAAAATTATTTCCTCAATCCATGGTCGATCTGGAAACTTGTGTGTATCCTTGGGTCCGGGAGGAGCTTGTACTATCGATCATCTGTGATGTCAAATTGTCCTCCATTTCCCACATGTACTATAATCGTTGCCAACAAGCACCTCTCATTCAGAATGACAGATGTGGTGTTAGCCTGTAACACCGTGTTACTGCCAAGTGCGTTCCTCTTCCTGTGAACGGCGCGTCCCTAATCGCATATCAACAGGATGGCCCACTTCATTTCTGTTCAGAAAATGACCACGATTTACATGCCAGCATTTGCAGACTGCAACGTTGATCGACCTATCGCTGTAGAGTGTCAAATGTTTGTTTCTCTTTTATGCGGGTCAGTGGACCACTGGATGAAGTGTTCACTTCCTGCTATCTTTGTACAATCTCTTCTTTTTTTTCAATATCTTATATTACAGGGTATACACAAAAGAATGGTACGGTTTCAAAAGTTAATAAAAAAATTATTTCTCATCTGACGGTGTATATTGTGCCCGTGTAAGGTTAGAAATAATTTTTTTATTAACTTTAGAAACCGCACCATTCTTTTGTGTATACCCTGTACATTGCTGAACCATCTTCTTTTTGGTCATCCCATAGGGCTCTTTCCTTCAAACCTTGTTATTTCCGTTCTGTTTACATCTCAAATCATTTTCCCTTCTCCGTTTTAAAATCTATTATTACACATTTTCGACTTAATCCTGTTCTCTAAAATCTGATATAATCCTAACCTACGTGCGTAAAAGCGTGGATTGACCGTAGTGCATGAATTTGCCACCATCAGAAGTGTTGTAGTGTTAGGAAAGCGTGTTCTACACTAATCTCATTCTCTCCCCTGTCATTAGCTTAAAATGTCCAAGATTCCAGAATCTTGCTTTTACACGAACAATACATATGAATGTTAGATAGATTTCTATGTTTATTCATATGTATGTAGGCAGTATAATTCAATCCATGTATCATTTCCCTAATGCATTCGAACATACGCATGCAATGCTGTATGTTTAAAATCGGCTCAGCTGGTTTAATTCCTAGCTTGTGGAGGCTCACATCTGTCATGTTTGAGTCGCAAAATCCACGAGTCGAATCTATTCCAACGTGAGGGATTTTTTTTTTCATTGCTATGGGCGAGAGATTGTATGTATGTCTGATTCTAATAGAGGACACACATTACGACTATTTGTGGCATGCGTGCCATTAAGATTAAAGCCAGATTACAATTTTGATTTTGCTATCGTGTTTGAAGTTCCGTCTGCTTTATTCATTAACATCGAGGCTTACCCTAAGCCCCGTTCTCAGTGTGTACTTACATTTTAAATTTTCGAAAAATGCTTTCTTCCAATGCCTGGTAGTTAACCTAAGAGTAACTTGGGTTTTATGTCTGGAAGTTTTGTCTTTCTGAAGAAGAGGTAAGCTTACCATTAAGAGTTTAGTATCTTTTTTCTCATTTAGTAATAAAAAGACCTGGTTTCAGGGCTGCATAGGGAGTCCAGATGGTGGTGTGAATAAAAAATCTCCATAAAATCTGCCCATAAATCAATTTTATTCATGGATCAATAACCGTGAAATGGTGTGGCTGTATAGAATTTATTATTCACACATTCCAAGTCACGTCAATGTCTCGCTAGCCACTGGCTGTTTCAGTACACCGCGGTCGATTTTTTTTTGGGGGCGGGGGGGGGGGGACTAAACTATACAGTACCGGATCTAGGTGATAAATTGATTTAGCGAAATCTGTCGATTGTTGAAAGTAGTCAGTCGATAGCTTGTATCCAGCAGAGCGATGAAATAACCTTGGCTCCCTGCCCTCTCCTCACGAAGGCTTCATCCATCTTTGCGCTGTTAATAAGCAGACACACGCAGCACCTGCGGCCATCTTTTTGCGTTCAGTTGCCTTCATATTTTATTCATCAGTGCGCTCTGAAATGTAATGTCCAGTAATTTCACGCGGCCTTCTGAGACTCCCGTCAGAAAGGAACGAAATCTGCAAAAAAAGGAGATATCATTACAGTATTTCTACTTGGCAGGTAGATACCAAGGTTTCGGAGAAACATACTGCCTACATCTTCAGGAATGAAGTGAAGTTACTGGCAAGTGGGTAGTTTATTTAGGGTAGTGTAAGGACTAGACTAGTGGTAAATGTCTAATCAGAGTCGAGGACGATGTGTTCTAGGCCAGTTGGGGGGACTCCATGCAGGGACTCAGAAGACAAGTTTGAGGATAAAATAAATCGCTTCAACCCGGAAAATAGAGACAGAATGTTCATTTCCGAAACACTGATATCTACAAGAGGAACAATATTGAAAGGTTCATTGATGAATAAGGAAATGGAAAGTATCTGAAAGGAACCGGTCGTGGACTGATTCAATATACTATCATGGAATTTTTCTGGAGGGACTGAGGACATCGAAGAAAAAGTCGGTCCAGATAGTCTGTCGAGTTGAAATTTGAACCGGAGAGGTCCCCAGTATGAACCAGGGCGGACAATAAATCGGTCGCCATTTTTTTCTAGTTTCAGTTTGTTGTAATACGCGATGCATTAAATTAAGAAGGTTTTATTATATTTCGACATCTTGTGGGAGAGTTTCGTGTGATATGATGATGTTTGCATTAAAGTAGAAAACCTGCCTATAGATGGCATAAGTGTGGAGTCACGTCGCCGATTATAATATAATTATAATAGCTAATTGGCTATCTCATGTGTTGACGGAAAGTTCTGTACATATTTTTAGTGAGGAACCGGAAACTGATTCTTTTACGTTACTGGTTGTTAATGACGTATATAAATTCGCGAAAAACAATGTATTTCGGAGTGGTATTAACGTTGCTGGAACGAACTTAACCTGACTGTTTTAATATAAATTTCTTACTAACTGTCTCTTCTCTCTTTTTTTCATCAGGGAGTTTGCTTGCAAAAAGCAGTTTTAATTAAAAATGTTTCATGGTTACGTAGTTTCACATTTCACTTACAAACTTGACTGCCTTTACAATTTGGAAAGGTTGCTGCAAAAAAAAAAAAAGTTGATATTCTCATCTGTTACTACAACGAAACTTTCTGAGTAAATTCAAAAGTTCGTAGTATATTGTATGCTTTGATAAATCTAGTGTGTTTACGTACCATAATCAATTGGTTAACTGTTTTAATGTATGTGTAAGTTCTTTACATAAACAGATATTGGCTGCCATGTGTCTGGCCATCTATCCGCCAATTTAATCTGAAATATTTCTTGGTATGCTTTGATTAAATTTTGTATTTGAGGTGTACAGTAAAGCTTTGTGACGTTTATCGTTTTTATTTCAATTTTACCAGTGTAACTCTTCCTTACATGACGGTTGAGTCTAATTAATCCATTTTAATAATATTAGCGGGATAATCGATTCTTGATATTTATTTACCAATCGTGTAAATTATTTCGTCTTAGTTTCTGGGAGATGATGCACAAAGATAGAATAACGCATTTTGTAACAATTGAGGGAACATTTTTCGATATTTTTACCAATCGTGTAAATTATTTCGTCTGGGAGATGATGCAGAAGGATAGAATAACGCATTTTGTAACGATTGAGGGAACATTTTTCGATATGGTAAATATTTAACGACATTAGTATATGGGAAAATACTTTATGAAATAACGGAGAGAGGTGTCTTTATATCTCAGAATTTGCGTGGAGGCACTGAGGAAAACCACAAAGGAGCTCAGTTAGAACAGCCTGTCTCCATGTCGAGATTTGAATCTTGAGTACAAGGCGATGGCCGTATACGAAGGGTAATTATCGGTAAGTTTTATACGACAAAGCAGAGATTTAAATATACCCAGCGCCCATTTGCCGTTCATCTGACCTTATCGGACACAGGTACATCGACAGACGAACTTTAATAGTCTCTGACGAAGAGAGTAGGCCGATAAGCCAATGACGCTTGTTCTATCCGCGGTCCTCCTGGGAGTTCGTCCTGTTATTTCGATTTCCCTTCGCTGGTGCTGAACCTCCGATGCGAGGGGAAATAATTTTTGAGTTGAAGAAGGCCGAAACGTGGTCTAATTAGCTATGTAGTTATAATGAAGGCTTGACACTCAATTTCAGTTTGGCTTTGTGTAAATCTTGCACGATTTCAGTCTGAAGCTGCCCCACTGTACAGTTATTTCGAATTGTTGTCAGTCTCTGTCGCCTCTAGCGTCATCTCTTGTTCGTCTTCGTAACTAAGCCTCCAGTTGCCTGACTGCAATCTAGGAAACATTTAATCGTATTTGCCTTAGGCCTACGTTCGTGTCCTCATGAGTCCTCGGGCACATCCTCAGAATCTGGTTCGAACTAAGTAAATTTGTTCGCTAATGTTACGGTACTTAAAGCCATCTCTCATATCCGCTATTTTGTATGCTTAGAGCGATCGCCAGATGTTAATAACTAACGCCTACCAGTTAAAACAACAGGTTACATTAGTTAAAGCAGTGACATTTCTGACAAATCCATGAGTCCTTGGTTCGGATTTAGGAATTGTCATCGAAAATTTGTTTTCATGAAAGGGAAGTAACTGAGTTGGGAACTTTATAATTTGTAGTATTCCCCAAATATTATTACAGTGACGAGAATAACTGACTGGACATGATGACAGAGTTGAGATATGTAAGCACAAATTCAGTCAGAAAACTTGAAGGAAAGAGACCACGTGGGTGACCAGTAGCTACAAAGGAATCAAATGTAAATATGTCTTATGGAATCAATTGGCCCACAGTTCATTGCTGTTGTGAACAAGGTAAAGTATTTTGGACTTTTTTTTGTAAGGATACTTACTTTCGAAAGCTGGGGATAATATTAAAAAAAGTACTTCTAGCAAACGAGGTTGATGTTATATTAATGTGTGTGTGTGTGGTAGATTCTATGCCCTTTGGGCACAGATACACGTGAAATTAGTATTTTTAAAGTATTTTTCAATACCTTTGTCATAAATGTAAGAAGAAACAAATCAACTGCTGTTTGTAATCTCAATGTCAGCGAAAGAATTCTCATCTCCTGCTTTCAATTTCTGCTTTATATATGTATTTCTCGTACTCGTATTTCTTTTAACGTACGCGGTATGTGGGATCTGATTTCAAGCGCGCTGTATCGATTGTTATTGCCTTGCCCCATCTCCGCTAAGATGGTCAGCCCACACACTGCACCCCCACATTTACACAAACTGTATAAATTATTGGCGCATCTTAAAAAAAGATGGATGGTCTCTTATTTAGATACGTGAGTAAAAAAAGAGACAGCTTCTGTGTGAGAGATGCTGGATCGCCCATCAATCTATTTTCACGAGCTATCTCTCTCTGCTCGTGCTATTACAGAATCGAAACGTGACGTATAATTCACGATCCGCGCGATGTTTGTGGCGGACGGACCCCTCCACAGTAATTTTTTTTAACGCGTGGCTCCGTCCATTCTACATCGTCAGTGTTACTGAATATTCATTCACTCGTATGTACGGTCATGTAACTTATCCCGATCACATTTAAAATGCAGCGAGGTCATTACAGAAGAAAATTGATTTCGAGAATCTTCTTAAGAATTAGATTTTCTGGTGGAGTTGCTAAAACTTTCCAAAGAGTGTGATTTGTGATCTGTTGTCCTAGTCAGACAAGCGAAGTTTTCTGCTGTCTCGTTCAATAAATTTCTATTTTTTTTTGAGCAAATGTTAAATAAGAGACAGCGAAATTCGTCTGCTTTTAAGAACCGTAAAGCTATGATAACCTTGAAATGATTCATTATACTTTAAAAGCAAAATATTTGAGGAAATATGTGCACCGTTGAGCGTTTATGAAATGTGATTAAATAATTCATATTATTCATTCAGAATAAATGTGTTATTTATATAAGGTATTGTGATTGAGGTAATATAGAAATAACGTTTGAAAGGTAATATAGAAACTCTAATTTCGTGTAGCATTTTTATACTTGTCATTGGTGTGCAATGTGTAGTTTGTCATTTTACCACAGATATGTTGAATACCTACATTACAATCGCTATTCTGCCAAGATGCAATGTAATTTATTAAATGTCTTTATGCCATTCATTGAATGTGTATGTATAATTTCTAGATACTGTGTATGCAGTTGGACATTCGCCTACGCCCAAATCCCTGATGACATAATCTGTAGGCTTCTATGTGCCTCCTGGAACCGTACATGAACGTGGCTAGACCATAATTAAAATACACCACAAATATAAATTTAATCAACACACCTTTGGTGTCCTATAACTGCTGATGCTGGAAACTTAATAATGTTTTATGACAACAGGAAACATGTTTATATAAAATTCCAAAACTGTAACCTAACAGCAAATATTGATCATTTTCTACTTTAAAAATAACATGAAATTGAAAGTCATATATTTTGTATAGTTTAATGCAGTTATTGAATAAAACTTTTCTTGGATATTATCCATCGCCTAGTAAATATAAAACGTAAAACGACGTTTCGGAGATGGGACTCTATCTCCATCTTCAGGTTCCTACACAGTTGGGCCCACTAGATAGAGCTAATCCCTATCTCCGGACCTTAATGCAGTTATGCAAATTAATTTGGCGATGAATATTGAAGTGCATTGGAACTTCAACGTTCTTTACTCGCCGCACCCCTGGCTGGCATCGGCTTCACCACTACATGAATTTGACCTAACCTAACACAACCCTAACTAAAACCTTACCTAACAAATCTTAACAATCTAACACAACATTAAGCTAACCAAACAAAGCATCTTAGCCTAACCACGTCGAAATGATCTTGAACACTTCAAAGGCCTTTGTTCCACAACTCTTGTACTGACATTGCCTTGACCTAACCTTGACCTTACCTTGACACGAGTGTCGTCATTCAGAGACCTACAATTTGTTAGAAATAAGCGTTAGAATAAATTTCATTAAATTTGTCGTAAGATTGGGCGTATTACAGATGAAAATGATAACATGTTCGTATGTTAGGAGGAAATATTGTTGAATCTCC